AGTAGGATCAAGTGGGCTATTCATTGGTCGAGGGGGAATCTAGTGGAAGAAATGACAATAGTTATAGGATAGGAAGGCTCAGCCAGCTTAGGGGGAAGGCCCGTAGGCAGTGCATGAGTGAAACATGCAGTGAGCCTATGAGAGCCAGCAGGAAGCCCATGAGTGCTTGTGGGGCAGTCATCAGCAGATGTGTGTATGGAGAGTTTGGAAAGACTAGTCAAGAGGTGCAATGGGTGGAGGGAGCATGCAGCCTAAGGGTGGCAGGGCAGGAAGAAGAAGGCTTGAGGGAGTATTTGAGTCCTTTTAAAGAACCAACAGCATATGAATCAGTGGACAGAGCAGAGGTTCATGGGAAGAGGTGTAGTATTCAGCCTCAGATAGGATTGGCATTATCACTAGGGCTTCCCAGGTGGTGCTAGTGGTAAAGAACCTGCCTGCCAATGCAGGAGACACAAGAGACGTGGGTTCTGTCCCTGGGTGGGGAAGATCCCTGGAGGAGGGGCATGGCAATCCACTCCAGTATTCTTGCCTGGAGAATCCCATGGACAGAGGAGCCTGGTGGGCTATGATCCATAGGGTCGCAAACAGTCGGACACGACTGAAGTGACTTAGCAGGCAGGACTGGCAGGAAGTTCATGTGTGCAGGAAGCAACCATTCCATGTGAGAGTCTAGCAGGCACTATATACATGGAAGATGCAGGCAGATTATTGGAGGGATCTAAAGGCTCTGTAAGCATGGAGGGTGCAGCCAGAGGACTGGGCTGGAAGTGCATGGCTGGAGGAATCTTTAGGAGATTTGTAGATACAGGGAACAGCAAGAAGGAGTCAGCAGAAGGTGAAATGGTGGAGGGTGCACACAATCTAGAAGAGGAATTGTCAGGTGGTGCCTGCTCTAGGGGCGGGCAGTCTGACTAGGGGAGGAACAGACCAGAAGTGCAAAGATGGAAGGAAACGTAGTCCAGGAAAGCACATGGCAGGAAGTGCATGGCTGGAGAGAGTATCTACTCTAGAGGAGGTCTTGGCAGGAGTTGCAAAGGTGGAGTGTGCAGTGAGTATGGCGGCCTGTCTGGCTGTCAAGTCATGGGTAGTAGGAGCAGCCAGTATAAGGAGGACCCAGCAGGAAATGCATGAGTGAGGGTGTCACCCAGGTTTGGTGAAGATGATGCAGCATGCAAGTAGGTGAAGGGAGCCTAAGGGGTGACATTTTAAAAAGCATATGAGAGGAGGGTGCGGACAGCCTCTAGGAAGAGTCAGCACGACCTGCGTGGGTCCAGGGAGCAACCATCCCAGGGTTGGACACAGTCAACATTGGTTGGGTGCAGCCAGACCTGGCAGAGATATGGATCGAAGGCAGCCATGTAAGAGAGGAACTACATGTCTAGAGGACTCAGTCAGCCTGGGGCAGAAAGAGCTTGGGCAGGAGGAGTGGACAGCAGACGGGAGGACGTTTTAAGAAATGCATAAGTGAAGAAGGCATCCAGTCTAGGGAGGCTCAAGAGGGAAGGGATGTTTGTATACTTATGGCTGATTAGCAGTTGTTGTATGGCAGAAACTGTTACAGCGTTGAAAAGCAGTTATCCTCTGCTTGAAAATAAAAGAAGTATTCAGTCTAGGATGAGACTCAGTCACCCTGGTGAGGACTGAGCAGGAAGCTCATGGGTGACGGGTGTCAGCAGACTCATGGAGGACACAGCAGAAGGCACAGAGTTTTAGTGACTTTCTCACCTAGGAGAGGAATAGGAAAGCATACACACATGGACAAAGGTGAAGCCATCCTAAGGTAGAATCTGGCAGGAGGTGTGTGGGTGGAGGGACCATCTAGCTGAGAGGAGGATACGGCAGGGTGTGTGTGGTTGAGGATGTGTAGCATGTGTTATGTGGAACAGGGTGGAGCCAGCCTAGGCTCAAGTCGGAGAGAAAAATAAAGCCTAGACAAGGATTTAGCAGGAGGTGCATGAAAAGAGGGAGCAGTGAGGTTAAAGGAAGACTTGATAGAAAGTGCATTAGTGGACGGTTACACTAGCCCAAGGGGGCCATGGCTAGTGCTTCCGAGTCGAAGAGCACAGTCAGCCTAGGTGAGGAAATGGCAGGAGGTGCAGCGGTAGAGGCAGCAATCCATCCCAAGAGAAGCAGAAGCTGGGTGAGCAGTGGGGCCGCCTCCTAGAGGATCAACTGACAATACATGCAGCCAGAGAGGTTGTGTCCAGCCCGCGGGAGAAGTAAGGAGGAGGAGCATCAGTGCAGAAAGGAGCCCTTGTAAGGAAGGATGTGGCCAGAAGCGCAGGAGAGTTGATTTCAACTAGTCTAGAGGAAGATTCAGAAGGAGATGCAAAGATGGAGGTTTCAGCCAGTCCAGAGGAGGAATAGGCTGGAAGTGTATGATGGAGGCAGCATTCTGTGGAGGGGCAGGCTGACAGCAGGTACCTGGATGGAGGCTGTGGCCAACTGCTGGTCATACTTGTTAGGTGAGGCCCGGGCGTAGGTTACAGCCAGCCCAGGGTAGGACTCAGCAGGAGGTGCCTGGGAGGGTGGGTATCTGCTTAGGGGAAGGGCACCTGGAGGTGCGTGGCTGGAAGGCGCAGCTAAGGGAGGGCTTGGTTCTAAGTGCTTCATGGTAGGGCAGGATCCAGCAGGTACTCCATGAGTTCAGAGAGCAAGTGAACCTGAAGAAGGTAAGTGCAGAGGATGGGGATACTGCTGCCTAGAGGAGGACGTGGAAGGAAGTGGACGGTGGAGTCTGCATCTGTCCTAGAGGAAAGTATGGTGAGAAATGCAGCTGTGAAAGGTGCCACTGGCCTCAGGGAGGGCATGGCAGGAGGTACAATCCATCAGCCTAGGGAGGAATCTGCCAGGAGGGTCAAGAGTGGAGAGAGTGTCCCACCTAAGGCAGAGTTGAGCAGGAAGTACATGGATAGAGGGGAAGCCAGCCTCATGGATTCACCAGTAGGCACCCATGTAAACGTGAATGGTAATAGCAAGGCTATCTGTTAAGAAAAAGGACAATACAATATTTCATAAACTCAGTTTTAAATAAACACAGATCCTTAGGGCTTACAGAAATGTAGGGCGTTTGTTTATTTTAAGGAGGTAACCAAGGGCATGTAAATTAGAAACAAAATATACCATGTCATTTGGGTGAGATACAGAATCTTTATTTGCACATGTTACCATGAAAGATGAGGAGCACGTTTTCACAACCACTTAGTAAAAGGAGAACAGTACTCCAAAGAAACTTTATTTTCAGAGAGGAAATCAAATTCTAGGTTTGCATCACTGTAGTACTTGATTCTAAAGGAACCCCAAACTCTGTTGTACAATCTTATGAATAAGCCCTTCAGAACTGAGCCAAATTTGGCAAAAATTTTTAACGCAGAGTCTTGAACTTTATGCAAGCCACAAAGCCTTATTACTGTGGAAATAAAAGATGGCTTGAGTGATGGTTCAATTTGATTAAAGATTTTGCTTCTTCATAATATTAAATAACTAGAAGTAATGCTGCTAACCTGTGTAAGTTTAGGAAAAACATTCCCAAGTAGAAAAAATGTGTCTATATTATAGTTGACACTGGTAAATCAGAGAGGACAAACTTATTTTCATTTAATAAACTAATCCTTGTCACCGTTATAAATTTGTTATATGAGTTCAAGTTCTTAAAATGAATCTGAGTTGTGTTATGGAAGAATATATATATAAAGAATGTATATATTTTTGTGTGTGTGTGTTAGGTGCTCAGTCATATCCAACTCTTTGCAACCCCCTGGATGGTAGCCCGCCAGGTTCCTCTATCTATGGGATTTTCCAGGCAAGAAGCTCGGATATAGCCCTGGCTTCCTCATCTGCACAGCACTCAACCCCCACAAGGTGAAGCAGGCGAGGCCGGGTTCTCACAGCCCGGGGCCCGAGCATCCAGCAATCACATGAGAACCAGGCCTGGCCGCCCCGTGGGGGACCTGTCTCAGCAGCTGGGGAGGGAGACACGGGCAGCCATCTGTTAGGGGTGTGGCCTGTGCCAGGCTCTGTGTTAAGTCACAGTTTACAGGCACATGGAGACGTCATCTCTGGGAAAACCCCAAGATGGAGGCACTCTGATTATCCCCGTTTTACAGGTGAGGAAGCTGCTCCTCACAGGAGACAGATGGATGTCCAAGATCACACAGCCAGAAAGTGGTGACCTGGGATGGCGAACCCAGGCCCACTGACCCCACTGTTGAAGCCAGCTGGGCAGCCTCTGACCAGTCGTGTAGACAGGCCAGAAGCAGAGGGGGGGGCCCTGCGGCATCTGATGAACGTCCACAGAGAGTCACAGCACTGCCCAATAAGCCTGTCTCACGTCTCTTTTTTGGAATGAGACAGGGTAAAATAATACATGAACTCCACAGGGCCGTAATTCCTTTTTGTGTATTTCTTTATGGTTTCCCCATCACTCCTCGATCTTCATGTGAAAGTCCTGCCCCTTTAAGTTCACACTGACCGCCCCGCCATCCTCTTCAATCACCCCCTTGGCTTCACCTCCCACTTGTAGGTGGTCCCCACCAGGAATAAAGCCTTAGGCTCCTCCCTCACGGTTTTCAGCCCCTCCCCCATTACCACCATCCTTCTGGGAATCCAACAGGCCCTCTCCATGCCAACCTCCCAACCTCCCTGGTCTGGACTCCTTCAGAGCCAGTGAGGAAGTCCTGCCCCGCAACCTCAGCCAGCGACGGCCCCCAGGACCACACACCATCCTGTCACCATCGGAAACCGCTCCCCGATTTCAGGATTCCAGCATCCCTCCCTGACCGCCCACTCCACCCCTCCATCCCTCATGAGAGGACCCCCCCCCCCGCCACCCCATGTCGCCCAGACGCCTCAAGGACAAATGACAGAAAGCGAGCAGTTACAAGCACAGCCATTAACGCTTTAATAGTGCTAATGGCAAAAGGCCTCCCTCATCTGTGGGCAGTTTGGGGCGAGATGAAGCTACTGATGAGGTGTGGCTGGACTTGGGGGCCTGGGCATCCCTACTTCTTCTTGCGAGGGGTTGGTGCAGCTGTGGTCCTAGTGAAGGCGTTGGGCTCGAAGAGGCGGCAGAGAATTTCATTCTTGATCAGCGCCCTCTGCACGTGTTCCGGGGTGATGCATATCCTGTGGTTGGCTCTGGCCTCCTTCCCTGCCAGGTTCAGGATGTTAGCTGTCAGGTACAGAAGGATGCCAGCCAGGAACATGGGCGTTTCTGAGCTCAGGCGGTTGGCAAACTGACCCTCTCGCAGAAGGCGGTCCACGCGGCTCACGAGGAGCTGCAGCTCGGCCCTGGTGGAACGAGAATGCTTCTTACTGCAACGGAAATTCCAGAGGTGTCTTCCCCGAGACATGGTGTCGGCTGGATGCTGCCTCGATCAGCCCAGGCTATCGATCCCGCTGGCTGGGGCCTCCCTAGATGCCAGTGCCTTTCTGCTGGCTCTGACCCCTTGTCAGCTCTCTTATTGCTCAGGGGGCTGCCTTTGTGACAGCTCAGGCTTTGTGATGTCATCGGCGGCCAGTTGGCCCTGACCAGGACTGGCCTAGAAATGGCTGATAGGAAATCTGGTCTCTCTGTTGAAAAGACCATCTCTTTCTGTCAGACTACAACATTCTAGCTAAAAATGTGTTTCAATGGAAAACTAATCTCTGTCTATAGGACACAACTCTGGGTTATTGCATTCCATCATATCATATCATATCATATCATATCATTCATTTCATATCATCATTGAGCCCTTTTACATCCTTTTGGAAGCCTGTAGGTCACTGATAAAACCTCTGCTGAAGGCTCAATTTCCTTTTCATACAGCAATCAAACAATCCCAATGGTCAGAGGAGCCTGGCGGGCTGCAGTCCATGGTGTGGCAAAGAGTTAGACATCAATGAGTGACTAGGCACAGCATATATATAAATATATATATATATATCATATTTTTTGGTTCTTCCATTCACCAACTGATAGACATGTGAGTTACTTTTGGCTGTTAAAAATAATGCCCTATAAACATTTATGTAAAAGCTTTTCTGTTAACACACAGCTTCAATTTTTTCTTTTTTTTAAAATGCAGATGTTTAAGTTTTTTTTTTTTTTTTTTAGTATTTTAAAATCTTTATTGAATTTGTTACAATACTGCTTCTGTTTTTTATTTGTTTTGTTTTTTTTGGCCACAAGGCATGTGGGATGTTAGCTTCCTGACCAGGGATCAAACCCATACCCCCGGCAGCCTGACCAGGGATCAAACCCATACCCCCGGCAGCCCACCAGGTTCCTCTGTCCATGGGATTTTCCAGGCAAGAAGACTGGAGTGGGTTGCCATTTCCTTCTCCAGTATATTTTTAATGGAGTGTATTTAAAAGGTCAGAAATTCGGTACCTGGATTGCTAGAGAAGTCCCTGGCTTCAATCTTATGTATATACCTAAAAGTACAACTGTTTGGTCATGTGGTGAAACTTTTTATTTATGATCTGACCATTTGAAGCTCTCTCTAGATTGATGGTTTGTAGAGATCTAGTTCCCACTGGGTGAGAAACAACACAGAATCTGGTTCATCCGTCTTTTTTGTCTATTTTTGAGCTCAAATTAATGAAGAAGTTCATGTCCTCTGGGAGGCTGTTTCTATGTTTATACTTGACCTGTGGCTGAAACTGTAGAATTGAAGCTGTAAGCTCTATTTCTCTGTGCCTGTATAACTATGCCTGCAATTCAGAAATGCTTTCACAAACTCTGTGTTTGTGAAATAAAGCTTTCTTACCTCTACATAGTATTAACATAGATTATAAATGATCTGAAATTAATGGGGCTCAGTTCTGATTGGCATATCTAGATGAACACTTGCTTACATAGATTGAGTATTCCTAAAATTTCCTAAAATAAGGAAACTGAATTTCCTTTAGGACATGGGCAGATGTTATAACTAGTTGACGAGAGAAACCAAAGAATGGAAAGTAATATTGATCACAAATAGTAGGATAAATATGTTAATAGAGGCCGGATTGTTTGATTGCTGTATGAAAATGAAATTGAACCTTCAGCAGAGGTTGTATCAGTGACCTACAGGCTTCCAAAAGGATGTGAAAGGGCTCAATGATGATATAAAAATGGAATGCAATAACCCAGAGTTGTGTCCTATAGACAGAGATTAGTTTTCCATTGAAACACATTTTTAGCTAGAATGTTGTAGTCTGACAGAAAGAGATGGTCTTTTCAACAGAGAGACCAGATTTCCTATCAGCCATTTCTAGGCCAGTCCTGGTCAGGGCCAACTGGCCGCCGATGACATCACAAAGCCTGAGCTGTCACAAAGGCAGCCCCCTGAGCAATAAGAGAGCTGACAAGGGGGCAGAGCCAGCAGAAAGGCACTGGCATCTAGGGAGGCCCCAGCCAGCGGGATCGACAGCCTGGGTTGATCGAGGCAGCATCCAGCCGACACCATGTCTCGGGGAAGACACCTCTGGAATTGCCGTTGCAGTAAGAGGCATTCTCGTTCCACCAGGGCCAAGCTGCAGCTCCTCGTGAGCCGCGTGGACCGCCTCCTGCGAGAGGGTCAGTTTGCCAACCGCCTGAGCTCAGCAACGCCCATATTCCTGGCTGGCATCCTTCAGTACCTGACAGCTAACATCCTGAACCTGGCAGAGAAGGAGGCCAGAGCCAACCACAGGATACACATCACCCCGGAACACGTGCAGAGGGCGCTGATCAAGAATGAAATTTTCTGCCGCCTCTTCGAGCCCAACGCCTTCACTAGGACCACAGCTGCACCAACCCCTCGCAAGAAGAAGTAGGGATGCCCAGGCCCCCAAGTCCAGCCACACCTCATCAGTAGCTTCATCTCGCCCCAAACTGCCCACAGATGAGGGAGGCCTTTTGCCATTAGCACTATTATTAAAGCGTTAATGGCTGTGCTTGTAACTGCTCGCTTTCTGTCATTTGTCCTTGAGGCGTCTGGGCGACATGGGGTGGCGGGGGGGGCGTCCTCTCATGAGGGATGGAGGGGTGGAGTGGGCGGTCAGGGAGGGATGCTGGAATCCTGAAATCGGGGAGCGGTTTCCGATGGTGACAGGATGGTGTGTGGTCCTGGGGGCCGTCGCTGGCTGAGGTTGCGGGGCAGGACTTCCTCACTGGCTCTGAAGGAGTCCAGACCAGGGAGGTTGGGAGGTTGGCATGGAGAGGGCCTGTTGGATTCCCAGAAGGATGGTGGTAATGGGGGAGGGGCTGAAAACCGTGAGGGAGGAGCCTAAGGCTTTATTCCTGGTGGGGACCACCTACAAGTGGGAGGTGAAGCCAAGGGGGTGATTGAAGAGGATGGCGGGGCGGTCAGTGTGAACTTAAAGGGGCAGGACTTTCACATGAAGATCGAGGAGTGATGGGGAAACCATAAAGAAATACACAAAAAGGAATTACGGCCCTGTGGAGTTCATGTATTATTTTACCCTGTCTCATTCCAAAAAAGAGACGTGAGACAGGCTTATTGGGCAGTGCTGTGACTCTCTGTGGACGTTCATCAGATGCCGCAGGGCCCCCCCCTCTGCTTCTGGCCTGTCTACACGACTGGTCAGAGGCTGCCCAGCTGGCTTCAACAGTGGGGTCAGTGGGCCTGGGTTCGCCATCCCAGGTCACCACTTTCTGGCTGTGTGATCTTGGACATCCATCTGTCTCCTGTGAGGAGCAGCTTCCTCACCTGTAAAACGGGGATAATCAGAGTGCCTCCATCTTGGGGTTTTCCCAGAGATGACGTCTCCATGTGCCTGTAAACTGTGACTTAACACAGAGCCTGGCACAGGCCACACCCCTAACAGATGGCTGCCCGTGTCTCCCTCCCCAGCTGCTGAGACAGGTCCCCCACGGGGCGGCCAGGCCTGGTTCTCATGTGATTGCTGGATGCTCGGGCCCCGGGCTGTGAGAACCCGGCCTCGCCTGCTTCACCTTGTGGGGGTCGAGTGCTGTGCAGACGAGGAAGATGGGGCTTCATCCGGGAACCATAAAGTCCTCAGCTTGGTTCCCTCTCTGCTCCCCTCTGTCTAGTGACACCCTCTATTTTCTTCTTTCCACCACTGATAGAAGCTTGGCACGGGTTTAGACTTTGCCGGCTTCTCAGGAGTGTCTGAGTGTAACTGTGTCTGGTGTGGGTAGAGCTTGGTGAAGTCGGTGCTTGTTTAATCCAAGAAACATTTCTTGACATCTGGTGCTCATTCCACAAATAGTTACAGATGCTTCACTGTCAAGAAAGATGTTCACCGCATAGATTTGTGAATCATTACAAGAGCCATGAAACCCTCCTGGCCTTAACCAAGCCCCTCTCACTCTCTTCTTTTTCATCGCTGAATAATATTCCATTGTATATATGTACCATGTCTTTTATCTGTTACTCTCAGTGGACATTTAGGTTGCTTCCATGACCTGGCTATTGTAAATAATACAACAATGAACAATGAGGTACAAGTATTTTTTTTTTTTTGTAGCCACAGATTCTTTTTATTTATTTATTCCTATTTCGTTTAAATTTATTTATTTTTATTTGTTTTACTTTAATTGGAGGCTAATTACTTTACAGTTGAATTACAGTTATCTCCAATTATATGCCCAACAGTAGGATTGCTGGATTATAGGACAGTTCTGTTTTTAGTTTTAAAGAACCTCTGTACTGTTCTCCATAATGATTGTACCAATTTGCATTCTTACCAACAGTGTGGGAGGGTTCCCTTTTCTTTACATCTTCCGTAGCATTTATTTCTTGTAAATTCTTTGATAATGTCCATTTTGACCTTCTGACTGACTGGTGTGAGGTGATACCTCATTGTAGTTTTGATTTGCATGTCTCTAGTAATTACTGGTATTGAGCATGTTTTCATGTGCTTTTTGGCCACCTGTATGTCTTCTTTGAACAAAAGTCTATTTAGATCTTCTGCCCACTTTGATTGTTTTTTGTCTGTTTGTTTGTTTTGACAATGAGCTACATGAACTGTTTGTATAGTTTAGAAATTAATCTCCTGTTGGTTGCTTCATTTGCAGATATTTCCCCTTATTTTTTATGTTGTGCTTTTGTTTGGTTTATGGTTTCCTTGGCTGTGCAGAGCTTTGAAGTTAAATTAGATCCCGTTTGTTAATTTTTGTTTTTAATTTTCATTATTCTAGGAGGTGAATTGAAAAAGATTGCTTCAACTTATGTCAGAGTGTCCTGCCTGTTTTCCTCTAGGAGTTTTATAGTATCTGGCCTTACATTTAGGTCTCTAATCCATTTTGAGTTTAATTTTGTGTATTAGAGAGTATTCTAATTTTATTCTCTTACATGTAGATGTCTACTTTCCCGGCACCACTTAATAAAGAGCTGTCTTTTCTCCATTGTGTATTCTT